TTAAATTTAACTGAGAGGGGGGGGGGGGGGGGGGGTTCTGCTCACACAGAGCTGTGCTGCTGTTTAAGGGTCAGGTCCATCAGCCTGACTTTCACTTTGTAAAGTCAGGTTTAACAGTAACATCACATTACGTGCTCTCAGCCGCTTTTTTTTCTCTCTCTCTGTTTTCAATTCTCTAACGCAGTAAAAAAAATAAAACCACATGGACAGAGCTCTCTTTGACAGAGACAGCATTTTTTTTTTTTTTTTTTGGTCTCTCATCTCTGCTCTTTGCATCATGCACGGTGTTGTTCCGCTTCACACATAGAGAGAGAGAGAGAGAGAGAGCACACACTTACCAGCTGTCAAAGTCAGAAACCGTGTTCTGTTAAACCCCTGAAAACTGACGATGTATTGGACAGGTTTAATGTAAACTTCAAACAATTAATTTGCGATATTGAAACTCACCATAAGAATCACATGAACACTGTGATAACTAAAAGTGTAACGCATAAACACGTTCAAACGACAGATCCAGGATATCCTGACCAGAAAATCTCAGGTTACAGAAAGAAGAGATTTCAAGATTAAGAACTGGAAATTGTTTTACGTCGCCCCCCTGTGGCAGTGTGTATACATACCTGCAATGCAGACTGTTGTAGTATACCACTACTGGAACTACCTCTGCGGCGATGATGCGTTGTCTTTGCGATTCCTCGTTATCTCTGCCTGTGACTGTGCTGCCAGTGAAGGTTTACTTCCCACTACATCATCCTTCTGTGTGGATTGAATCACAGTTACTGCCTGGAAGTTTTGTTGGACTAATATTGAAATAATGGATCTTGTGTATCGAGGTGTTGTGTTCGTGGACAAGGAGGTTAGAGAAGGACTTATAGCACCACCTGCAGGGTTGGTGTGATAGTAGAAATGTTACTAATACATGCAAAAATGTAAAAAAAAAAAACAGTAGAATATATATATTTATATATAAATATACATATATTTATCCGATGCAATGATATATATATTTATATATATATTTATTTTTTTTTTTTTAAAACCTGCATCTGAAGTCAACAAGACGTGGTTATGTCTAGAGCTGTGGGGAAATGTATTTTATATATATTTATGATATATATATTTATATATATATTTATATGTCTATATATGTGTATATATGTGTACATATATATTTATATATGTATATATGTATGTATATATGTATATACACATATAGGTGTATATATGTGTGTATATATATTTATATATGTGTATATGTGTATATAAAACAGCCAATTAAACACAAAAAGTGTTGTAGGAAGCCATACCAGACGAGCTAATGATCAAGAGCAGAAATCCGGAGCCAGTTTTTCAACAGCTGCAGTATTTTTTTTTTTTCCGATGCAAATTCATGCTGATGTGTTTAACAGAAATGGAAGTAGGTGCCCCTCTTCAGGCTGATGGCATCTACATATGTATGTGCTTTCAGGTGTAAACTACATGAGCTGCTTAAATGAGACACCTTTTGTTGTGTGTGTGTGTGTGTGTGTTTATGCGAGTGTGTAGTATTTTGGGGGCTAACTGGTTCCAGTTGCCTAGTAACAAAGAAGAGGATGCACACAGCGTTTATGAAAGTGCGTGTGTGTGTGTGTTTGAGTGTGTTGCCATCTACAGTGGAGTCTATGAGATTATCATAATCATCTCACAGTTACATCAGGTCTCCCTCAGAGCTGCTCATTAGCAGAGCCGTGTGAGGAACCTCTTTGACTGTGCAGCTCTCTGAAAAACATTCACTCTCACATGAGGGAACACAAAAACAAAAGAAAAAAATCCCCCCTTGAATTTTTTATATTTAATTGAATATTTAAGTGCAAATAAGGCATCGTACCACATCTGTGTGTTTTTCTTCAATAGTCTTTTCACCTCAGCTATTTAAGTTTTTCCAAAATCATTTTGCACAGAAAGTCTTATGCACAATGTTGCCCAAATATTATTTTTAAACCTACAATATTACATCCGTTTCCTGCCGACAAATTCTCCGATGCTAAAGCTACAACATGGAACCAGCCGCAGGCCTTTCTCATGTCTGCTTTTATTCCGATGCACAGTAGCAGCACCGGTCCACGGGGACGCAGATGTGGTTTGTCTCTCTCCTCATCAGTTTGCTGCTGTGTGGAGTTTACTTTGTTCTCCTCGTGTGTGGGTTAAATCCAGGTTCTGTAGTTCCTTCCCACAGTCCAAAAAAAAAAAAAAAAAATCACAATAGGCCTCAGCTGTGAATGTGAGTGTGAATGATTATCTGTCCCATATAACTTTAAATTTATTTTTAGCTTAAGAAACTAAATGCTTTTCAAGCTCCTGCGGGCCTTACAAACTGACTTGGCGGGCCACATTTGGCCCCCGGGCCTTGAGTTTGACACATGCGCTATAATGTGTCCTCCATTGTTGTTTTCAGATGTAAATAGTATTTTACTATTGAATTATAATCATATTGATATGTTCCAGTCCAGTTCCATTACTAGTAGTAATTTGAAAAAAGAAAATCCTGATTTTTGAATGAGAATCTTTTAATAGATACAGAAGTTTGGAAAAATTATCAGTACTTTTGTTTCAGGACAGTAAAAAAACCAAACACAGTGATTGTGTGTCTCACCCGTGTTCCTCACCCGTGTTCCTCACCCGTGTTCCTCACCCGGGCTGTCAAAGCTGTGAGGAGCTGCTGTCATCTGCTGTGAACAGGAGACAGGAGGCTGCAGAGAAGTCCGACCGTGTGATCGGCTCTGGTGTTTCTGTGACACCCAGGTGACACACAAACACCGTGGTGGACCGGGTCGGTCCTCTGACAGCTGGGGCAGTTAGGCAGAGGCAGAACTGGACTGACTGGGTTTCACTCCTCCGTCCATCTTCATTCATCCAAGGAGTTTCTAGTCACATCAGTTTTGTCCGTTCCAGCCAAAAGAGTTAAATTAAAACACGGCCAGTGTTTATACTGAGTTGATACTGAGTTGATACTGAGTTGATACTGAGTTGATACTGAGTTGATACTGAGTTGATACTGAGTTGATACTGAGTTGATACTGAGTTGATACTGAGTTGATACTGAGTTGATACTGAGTTGATACTGAGTTGATACTGAGTTGATACTGAGTTGATACTGAGTTGATACTGAGTTGATACTGAGTTGATACTCACAATACAAATATTATTGAAGAACATTTTCAGTTCTGACTGACTGCTGGTAGATTCCTGGTATTCAGCCTCAGAGCGGATGAAAACCTGAGAATGAGAGTCGTAACATAAACAAAGTCTACGACCACGCCCTGAGCCGCTGGCAGGAAAGTGGTCATTACCAGGGTCAAGGGGTGAGTCAGGTGGGAGGTTGGTGTCACCCGAGGGACACGGTTGGCCCTCGGAGTCTGTTTGTCGCTGCACGGGGGGGTTTGATCCTGCAGTCCTGGATACTGGTGTGTGTGTGTGTGTATTTACAGCTGGTACTGCGATGCCTATGGGGACCTTATGTCCTTATGGGGACACTTTGTCCTTGGGGGACATTACCAGGTCCACACTGAAGTTTGCATTTTTCTTCACAGTCATTCGTCTGTAGTGTCTGCAAAAAAACCTCATCCAGCAGAGTTAGCGTTGGCTGATATTTCTGCTGACTACAAATTAAAATAATTTATCGCTCAAATAGATTTTAACATTTTTAAAATCTCTAAAAACATCTGCTGTTGTGTTAGCAAGCACACAGCTTTATGAATAAATGTTGAGGCTAAAGTTTGAACATCCGATCTCTGAAGTCAGTGATTGGAACTTCTGTCTTCTTCCATCAGTGAAAAAAATGAAACACACCAGTGTCTGCTCCTGTGGTCAGCTTCTGTCTTTCTCTCTCTCTCTCTCTCTCTCTCTCTCTCTCCTCCTGGGCCTGTTTCTACACCACACTCTGATTAGTCATGGAGCTGATGCAGCACAGCATGTCCGAACATTCAGACACAAAACAAAACCTAAGAATCTCTGTCACTCCCCAAGTAAAGATCTGATTTGACCAGAAGGTTTTTACAACACACTGCAGGCGCGAAAGACCCAGATCTGAATGTTTTTGTGTTTATGAACAGCACAAGTTCAACTTTTTGGAGACTTTTTTTTTTTCACTTTATTGCTTTTCCTCAACTGCAAGATCAAGATATTCGTCCTGACACTTTTTTCAAATTTCTAGCGATGCTAAACATTGAAGCTACAAGGCAACAGACCAATGGGCCACAGACTCCTGTTGAACACCTCTGCTGTGAGGGTTCACAAACCGAGGGGCGAGGACGCAGCCGTGGTCTCCGTTCACCCTTTGTTGTCATTAACTGCTGATATCGTGCTGTTGAAAATCCCATAATGAGATAGAAATATGCATTATTCTGTGGTTGGTCAACTCGGTCATGTGACCAGTCGTGAATCAGCTTATATAATTATCACTTGTTATTGCTCCTGGATTATACCATGCCTTTGTTCGGTGTACATGTCGGGGCGGTGAGGTTCTTTCTGATGGCAGGAAAAAAAGCCGCTCTGAAAACGTCTGATAAAAAACCCACAGCCGACAACAGATCCTGTAAGTTCCCAGTTGACTCTTCCTGCACTTACACCTCTGCGGTACTGATCCATCGGTACCGAAAACCTTTTCGTAGCAGTTGCAACTGAAGATTATTTTTGCACAGTTTGCAGGTCATTCTGCGACAGAGAAGAACAAAATGTTCTGCTGGTTACACCTTAGTGCTGTCCTTGACCGAGTTTGGAGCCACTGAAATGTATGACTACAGTTCATGCAGGTGTTGGCAACAGCCATGATGTCACTCAGAAATATTTGCTGCCGTAGTGGATATGACGATCCCTGAACAGCAGGAACCGTACGGAGCTGCATGACTCTGTGCAACTTTCTTTTTTCTTTCTTTTTTTTACCAAGTCTGCATAAAAGACCAAAAAGTCAGGATGCATTATTTCAAGAAGTTTAACCTGAGCTTTGCATAAGACAAATGTTTGTAAAATAAATGTAAACATCACATTTATCCTGTTTTTTTTCCTCCTTTTTCTTTGTCTTTGTCCAGTCGATGCTGATGAGATTAAGAGGCTAGGGAAGAGGTTTAAGAAACTCGACCTAGATAACTCTGGCTCGCTCAGCGTGGAGGAGTTCATGTCGCTGCCGGAGCTGCAACAGAACCCGCTGGTGCAAAGGGTTATCGACATATTTGATACAGACGGGAACGGAGAGGTGGACTTTAAAGGTACGCAATAAACTTCAGCACTTTTGCTGTGTGTGTGTTTTTGGGTGGGGGAGAATGTGTGGGGGGGGGGGGGGTGAATGTGGCCTAATTTTACGGCTTTATTCTCGTCTGTGAAAATGATTCTGCTCAGTGTCCCGTCGTGTTTGGACCACATCCTCCATGGATTACATCATATGGTAGAATTATTTCACTCCTCCTCCCCCTTCCTCACCCCCGGTCAGTTTAATTTAGCCAACTCAGATGGAATGGACTATCTGAAGTATGTGTGGTGATGGAATTTGGCATCCAGGCTCTAACTATGTCACTCCTTGCGAGCATGCACCAAGCTTAGAACATCCCTTTAAAGAGGAACAGCTGCATCAGAGGCAGAGTCCGGCGAAGGTCCAGTCACCATGGGAGCAGCAGAACCGTATGGTCGTTTATCAGAACAAAACAAAAAAAAAAAAAAGGTTCTCGGTCCGTGATGGAAAACAAATCCATTTCACTTGGTTTGTTGGAGGAGTGAGGTTTTTTTTGTCACTGCAGCACTTCAGGCCTACACTAGGACGAGACACAGATTCCACCAAAATAGTTAGAAAAGACAAAGACTTTTTTTTTTTGACCAAACCATTTTGAAGCTTTGCATGTACAAGTCACAGACGATCAATATTAGAGGTGTAAAAATATCATCAGTTTCACTTTACAATACCTGGTGGTTCTAAACGTGCTCGGCTTTGATCAAACACGACTCACTGAGTTTGTAAAGAGAGAGGATTAAGTGTGATCACTACTCCTGCCACTGCAGCTATAAATGAAAAATATCTGTACTATAAACTTTTTCAAATCTCTTTCTGCAGAGTTCATCGAGGGAGTCTCACAGTTCAGCGTCAAGGGCGACAAGGAACAGAAGCTTCGGTGTAAGTAAAGAGGACTTTCTGACAACACACGACAACGTATGAAAAAACCTGGAGGCTTTTCTCAAAGATTCAGCTTCAATGTCTTTGGGATCAGAACGTGTACATAAAACAGATCTGTGCTGTGGGCTGTGGAGTGGGTGGAAGGTCAAAAGTTTTCGTCCCGGTGTAATATGATTTTCAGGGACACCGTGGGTCCTGGGCTAAAACTGAACCAGTTGCAGGGATAAATTCTGTGGTACCTAGAATTCAGTTGCATCGCCAGGTCATTTAATCCCTCATTAAAAAATTTCAAGGGCAGTTTCAGTTATTTGAGGGCGTCCTGCCTTGAATCTGGGCTAATTTCTGAACCGGGTCTCGAGGCAGGATGGGCTGAGAACGCTGACTCAACCTTTGATGATGTGATGATGTTTCTAAATAAGTGTCCCCCCCACTCCACCCCACCCTGGGTTCTGCTCCGCAGTCGCCTTCAGGATCTACGACATGGACAAGGACGGCTACATCTCCAATGGCGAGCTCTTCCAGGTGCTGAAGATGATGGTAGGCAACAACCTGAAGGACACGCAGCTCCAGCAGATCGTGGACAAGACCATAATCAACGCAGACAAGGACGGAGACGGCAGGATATCCTTTGAAGAATTCTGTGCAGTAAGTGGAAGCCCCC